ACCTCGCCCTCGCTATTTCGCACGTGCAAGGTCCATCCTCTCGCTCGCTGCGTTGGTCGCCCCAAAAGGCGTTTTGCTGGTGACTATGCCCTTGAATAATTTTTCCTACCAGTAACTGTACACTGTAAACTCATTTCAACAAACGTTTGTTACTTTTACAAGGAAAATTATTTAGCGCAAATCCCCGCACCCTTTGCCATGTCATCGAACGACCCTATTGTTTGTCATGGTAGTTTTTCTTACAACCCACTCATATGTAGTTCGTTAGACTAGCTACTAAAGTTTGCTTTGTCATTGTTGTGTGAACGACTGTTTTCCTAGTTATAATCATGCGGCTACTAGGTAAAGACCTGCGCATGTTTGCATTTAACAGGGCTGAGCCGTGTACTTGTTCAGTCAAATCAATGCAAATCTTAGTTAGCATAGTAATGTCTACGTGCAGCAAACCTGTACTTGTAAGCAATCTACTAGTCTCAGGTTTGTAACGTTTTACAAAGACCTCCCTTGTATTCGTCAGTTTTCTCCACAAATCGCAGGTCGCCGCTCTGCAGTCTCATTATTACAGCAAAACAGCATTACTGAAAGTAGGTCATGTATTTAAAATGGTACATACACATTACACACACAATGGTGATGACACTCATGACCCAAGGGGCAAGGGCAATAACGCATGCGAAAAGGCAATGAGCGTCATCACTTACGAGCATAGACCCGGGAACAGGGGGGGCAGCGGGGGCGCTTGCCCCCCCAACTTCAGAGCCGAGGGGGCGGCGCCCCCTCAACATTGAGGCAGCGTGAAAGGATCTTTCCTCCCTTTTCCGGACTTCTTTCCTTCTTGTTTCCTTTATACATCTAAACATCAACACACGGCATTTTCCTAGCCATCTGAATGGTTTCTGCTGATACAGTATCGATTTGACAACATCTGCTTTTGTCATCCCGCTTTGGTTTGGGCCTGGCGTTCGCCATAAGTTTGGCAGGCCAGATTTTATACTGGACCATTTTGAGTCAACTTTGAGAAATACACGGTAACGTAAAACGGTGGTAAACTCGTTGCTATAGGTATAACACAGTTTACCCGCTCCGGGTGTGAGCTGGAGGGGTGTGGGGCAATGGGTACACTGACGTGGCGCCCTCGGAAGGCCGGTATGGGATTAAAGCTCAGTGACACTAAGGGCTTATGTGGTGCTTTCGGTGATCGGTAGCACCCTCAGAATCACCGGCGTAGGGCCCTCAGAGCCGGCGGTAAGGGGCCTTTAGAGGCACTGGTGTGGGGCCGCCATGCAGTTGCCGGTGTGGGCGCTCAGAGGTGCTAGTGTGATCTCTCAGAGGCGCCGGTGAGGGTCCTTAGTCTTACAGGCGTTGCTGTGGGCCCTCACAGAGGCTGGTGTGGAGCCGTTACAGACGGGTGTGGGGTCTTTAGAGGCAGAGTTGCTGACGCGAGCCCTCTACAAGCCGGCAGGGGGTTCTCAGTGACCGGCAAGGAGCCCTTAGGCCGACAGAAGAAGTCCTGTGGAGTCCTTAGAGACCGGCATGGTACTGTCAGACGCCGGTGGGACCCTCAGGGCTCAGAGTCACCGGTGTGGGGCCCTCAAAAGTCACCAGTGAGTGGCCTTTAGATTCGCAGGTGTTGACTGTTGGGTCCTCAGAGCCACCGACATAGGGCTTTAATAGGCACTGGTGTAGACACTCAGCGTTTGGGGTGTGAAACGCTCAGAGACACCGGTGTGGGCCCTCATAGGCGCCGATGAGGGCCCCACAGTTGCCGTTATGGGGCCCTCAGAAAAATAAGTGTGTGACCATCACAGGCGGGAAATGCCCCTAGAACTGGCCCCTCATAGGCCGGTAAGAACTCTCAGAGGCCAGTAACGGGCCTTTGGAGACCACCGAGGGGCCCTTAAAATCTGCAAGAGGCCCTCAGAAGCCGGCGTGGGGCCCTTATGGTTATCTTAGTGTGGTTATTTAGGGCCCATGAGGTGCCCTAACGAGCCCCATGGGGCCCTTCTGAGTCGAAATATGACCATTGTTAGCCCTCAGCGGTCAAATGGCGCCGCAGGCCCTCTCGGACCCGAGGGTCCCTTTGAAACCGATGGGGGGGGGGGGTACGTGTCCCCTTAGACCCCTAGCCACGCCACTGTTTCATATGCATCATGTTAGGTATTTTAGGCTCGCCCCCCCAACTTGAAAATCGTTCCCGGGCCCCTGCTTACGAGTACACTGTAGAATCACACGTTTACATGCATTAGGTTTGAGTTAAGATAGTCATCTTGGGTTCCCTGCCTCGCAATAACTGGTTTGGGGACTCGCAACATCGAGGAATGCCTTGATTCGGAAATATGTTATTTCTAAGTCTGCGGAACACGAATTTTAAGGGGCAAACCCATTCGAATCTAAGGGGCATTCAAATTCATTAGCTCCTTGGAATTCAGGTGCTTTTTCATTTTTAGACTTCTTGAGTTTCTGCAGTTTGCTGTCTTCAGTGTGCGACCCTTGCTTGCAAGCTGGAGCTTTTGCTCGGACTGATGAAAGCCATGAAAGAAAGCATCGCTATATTATAGCATATGCAGAACAATATGGCCTGGAGCAGAACACATTGTGCTTACTTCCATACATCACGCACTTATTCAGCAAATTTCTCTGATTAAATCTGCATTACTATCAGTTGGAAGACAAACATTTCATTAAAAAATGACAAAAACGACCGAACACTGTTATCACCTACCATTTTCACGGAAGTGAGCAGGAGGCCACATCACTGCACGGCGGTTGGTGCGCAACTGAAATTTTCAAATTGAAACGGCCGGAAACGTTTTTGGCGCCACCTATATAACAAGTAACAGCTTTGTGTATGTTACTACTGACACGTCTAACTAGCGTAACTAAGTCCGTGTTGCAAAGGTGTAGCTGATACCTTCGACAAGGACATAGATTACATAAGTATGTATCAGTATTTTTGCAATGGTGTAGCTGGTTCTTTCGACAAGGATATACATTACAAATCATAAGCAAATCTATGTTCCATATTACGAATAAGACCCTGGTAGTTTTCACAATAGCCTCCATAATCCTCGTCAATTTTATGAATGGTCGACTAGGTGTTGGGGCTGATACTTATATTTGCCCTGTTGATTCAACCAACTATGACAAGATATTCGTCGTTCGACATAACCTTTATTAGTATTTTTGACAAACGCTCGTCGTTGTACGACAACCCCTTGTCAAAATGAGTTTACAGTGTAGTGATAAGGCGCATGTCAATGCTAGTGTTAAAATAAGTACCTAAATTTGTTGAAAGAACTCTATCAAAATAGCAATTTGACTTCCCAACTGAGACATGCTTAACCCTATTAGTGGCAGGGGGGGTTGTTTTTATCCACCCCTCAGGTTTTTCGGGAATATCTCCGAAACCGCTGAAGCTACGATGCTGAAATTTTCCGACTTTTCCTAAAACTAAATTGGGCACATTCCCTGAAAATTTCAAGTTCATAACCTTACCAGGGGCGGCTCCAGAGCACTGGGAATTGGGGGTCCTATTCGTGAAGCGAGTCATTTGGGCGAAGATCACGATGCTGCACCAGTTTTACGAACAGTCAATGAAAGGTATCATGTGATAACATATAAAAAGTTATTGTGCATCCTCTTTTGACACGTTTTTGCTATAATAGGCGGATCCAGGCGTCCAAAAAGGGGGGTTATTTTTTACCTCCCAACATAGGTGCCCTGACACCGCCTATGCAAGACCAATACAATTTTAGTCGTTCTCTCATAAGAAAATTGTAACATAACAAGACCATTGCCACCCTTTTTAGAAACAGTACCAACAAAAACCTTATTTACTATACTTTTTGTGTACCCCAATCTCAATGATCTGTATCCGCCTATGATTTTTGATAATGCATATTTTTAGGATCCATGTGAATTTCTGGTTCATTCTCTATCGATCGACAAAAGTTGCGTTAAGATTGGTTCAGAAACCTGGCCGTGATAAACAGTCTAAAATGTATCTGCAATTTGCCCGTTTTTACCCCCCTCTACCCCCCTATTGACATTTTTTAATTTTATTTTTTTTTAGAAATGTAGATCTCGTTGAGCCAAATCGAATGCCGTTTGAATTTTGAAAATCGGCCGGTTAGATCTCGAGATATCAAGGGGGGGTTGTAAACAGCCCCCCCTGCCACTAATATGGGGTAGCCAGGAGCCTGCCACTAATAGGGTTAATAATAATTATTGGCAGGTTGGGGTGGGCCATGTAATAAAATGAATACTGTATGGGTAAGTGCACTAATAAAAACATTATCTTTTATAAATTTAGTCGAAACCTTTTGTTTGAAAGGATTCACAAGGACCCGCTAAGCGAAGCTTGTTGCGTTAGCCCTGCCCTCTACCCTCCGATCGCGCAATTCCGGTTCTATGGCAGAATTTAGAGTCCAAAGTTTAACGTGCGCACATAGCCGCGCACGGCCGGTCCCCTCAATGACTTCGCCTGGCTACGGCCTGCCACCAACCGCAACCAACCCGTCAGGAGGCCCATAAACGTCAAGCGCCCGTCGCGCTTCGAACCCGGGCTGTTGTAACCGGGAACGCGTGCTCTCACCACGGGGAGTCCAACGCTCTACCAACTAAGCTACGGGACCGGCATTATTGCCCTCTGTGGCACCACTGAAACCCTTGGAAGGAGACCTTAAATTTGCCTCGGGCAATAAAGCATGTTCGGTCTTCACCCTCGGGCTACAGTGACGTCACATCGGGCAATAATTTTTACTATTGCCCGCTACCCCATACAGTATTCAAATATATTGTTTCCAAATTTCGTGTATTGGCTCACATAGCTGTTCTTGCAGAGCGGGGAGCGTCTCTGCGTCATTTTCGGAGCCGAACATGCAGTGCCGGCCGCAGCCCTGCGGCCGGCATTGTGCTGAGAGCACGTGTTCAGGGGTCATTGCTCGCTGCCAAAACGGAAATTTTAGCCTCAGGTTATTGAACTCTAGTCTGTCTGACGGCCCTTTAAAACGCTGCACCGGGAGATATGTAGGCGACAATAGCACAACTAACGCGACATTTGTCGGGCCATATGAGTTCTGAGCGGCCCGACAGTGACACTATTATCAGAAGCCCTTCATGATGCCGATAATTGTGTCGGGCCGTTCAAAACTCATATCACTCTCCAATGGCGTCTTGTACCATAAATATGCATCACTTGATTACTAATATGGGAGTGTTAAATTTAACTGCAAACTGCCTATAACCATCTTTTGGCCTTTTGAATCCCAGGCACAAAATATATTCTGGCTCTATAGTAGGTATCATAAACTTAGTGCGCATCAATGTGACAAAATTGAACAGCAAGGTCTATGATCGTATACGATCTGAGATCAAGATCCGTCTGCCTTCAACTGGCTGCGGCCTGGCTGGTCCCAACAAGCAACATCACCTGAAGTGGACCGTTCCCGTCAGGAGCCGTCTCGCATATCGAGCGCCGGAGCAATTCGAGCCCGGACTCGCACCACCGGAAGTCCAACGCTCTACCATCTGACATTCGAGCCTTCATCTCGCATGATTTCTGCATCTATCTCTGCAACATTTGCCGCCATTGATAAGTTGATATCCATAATATTATCTCATTTAAATAGGTCAAGTTTACTTCCTTCCACAAGAGTATGATTTTGCCAGTTGCAATGACGGTCGGAGGAAAAGATGAGAATATAATTACATATCATTTGAATCGTGGGAAGCTCTAAACTAAAACTGCGTTCATCTCGGAAAATGGAGCTCTGCATGTTCCCCAATCTCCACTCAGGAAATCGCCGTGCCACTTAAAAGCGCCCGACGCCGGTCGATTAGGCGCAATTCTCTTGCAAAGGTGTTAGAAGACGGTGATATGCGGGCTTCTCTGGTGAGTACAATCAATTTCTTTTGTCTCTTACCATGTTTCTGAAAAGAAATTGCCGAAATTCACATTTAGTGAGCAAAACAACGGAGTGTTCAACATGCAATGTTCAATATTTAGTGCTCAAACACCTTTCAAGAAATTGAAAAGCGGGGGTCTAATTAGTCACCGGCATGTAAGCATATTCATGTCGGTTGATTCTTTTACGGGTCTACGTAGCGTATGAGGGAATTGATTAACATCAGGTTTCAAATAGTCTTGAATCATTTGACTGACCTGATTATTGAGAAATTGGTGCAAGGAAAATAGGAAAAAAGGATATTGGTAACAATCACTTGAAATTTTATGGCAGGCTCGTCATATAATAGATGAAACAAGGCTGAAAATACTCAATATTGTAAGATAAAACATTTTCAGAGGAGATTTAATTAGTCTAATAATAATTGTATAATTGTATCTAATAATTGTATGTTACCAAAGCCCAGTCTAATAAATGCGATAGCCAAGTCTTATAACTGAGGAAGTTAAACAGTACAAAGAAAAAAAAAACAATCGTTGAGCGTATGCCCTCTGTTTCAGGTTCTGTTCGGAGTGCTGTGGGCCGGACCATGGCGTCTGCAGCACCCCGTCCTCGCCATGGACGTAATGCCCGGAGTATCGCCGCTGCTCTGGGCCCCGCTCTTTCCACCACAGTTCCAGCCACCGCCGCAGCCCCAGCCACAGCCGCAGCCGCAGCCGCAGCTGCCGCAGCCCCAGATGCAGCTACAGCAGCAGCAGCCGCAGCTGCAGCAGGTACTGCTACCCCAGCCGGAGCTGCGCCAGCCGCTGATGCCCCGTCCAAGCCCGTTCGGACCGGCACAGCCGACTACCAGTTTCGTGCCGGTCCTCCCACCGGCGTTATTTGGTCAGGGCCTGCTGGGTCAGCAGCGAGGGGCGTCTCCGCCCCCACCGCCGCCGCCCCAGCAGCTGCCGCCGCCGCCGCCACAGCAGCTGCCGCAGCCGCCGCAGCTGTCGCAGCCCGTCATCCCGCCACAGCTGCAGCAGCCACCGCAGCTGTCGCAGCCGCCGCAGCCCGCCCTCTCGCCGCAGCTGAGGCTGTGGGCTCTGCTGCTGCTGCAGGCCCACCTCGCTGCTCAGGCGCGGATGGCGGCGCAGGCTCAGCCGGCTGCCGCCCCGGCGCAGGCGGGAGGAGCATCGCCTGGCACTGCTCAGCAGACCTTCCAGCCAGCCTCGTCCCCGCAAAGTGGCTTCGACGAGGATGATGTGCCGACTCAGCGAGAAACGCTGCGGCCGGGACTTGGCTTTTTACCAGCACCTGTAACGCCAGGTAACAAACGACCGGGACTTGGATTTTTACCAGCACCTGTAACGCCAGGTAACAAACGAACGGGACTTGGATTTTTGCCAGTGCCGTTGCCCGCTAGACCACGTACCTTCCACGCCCATGGTTCTTCTTTACAGCCTCGGCACTTCCAGAACGGCATCTCTTCGGACGATAGTCGTCAAGCTCAGAAGCAGAATGAATTCGGTCAGCGTAACTTCGCGGGCCGTCCTTCTAGCGTCGGTGTGAGTCAAAATAACGACGATAGGTGGGAGAAGGGGAATAATAGGCGTGTGCCGCCGAGACCAACGAACTTTGGTCGGGGTGTTCAAAGCGGTGGGGTCGGAGCCACCTTTATCCCAGGCAGTCCCCACAGCACTGGCGGGAGAGAGCGACAGGACGGGAACTTCCACATCAGCCGCAACCAGGGAGACTCAAACCGTCACTCGAGTCGCTGGGATCCGGAGGATTCCGACGATTATTTCGATCGCTGGGATCCAGAGGATTCTGACGACCGTTTTGACCACTGGGATCCGGAGGATTCTGACGACCGTTTTGACCGCTGGGATCCCGACGATAGCAATGATCGCCCTGACCGCTGGGATCCCAAAGATAGCAATGATCGTGACCGCTGGGATCCCGAAGATAGCAATGATCACCGTGACCGCTGGGATCCCGAAGATACCACTGATCGCCCCGATCACTGGGACCCCGAAGACACCAATATTCGCCGTAACCGCTGGAGGTCAGCTGATACTAGTGGTCGCCGGAGCCTTTGGCTTCGAAAAGATGACTCGGATAAAGATGAACGTGAACGTAGAACCCATACATTGAACAACTTGCATTCACTTAGTCGCGGCAATCACGTTACCCGACAGATGTCCAAGGGCCGTGATGACCAAGTTACGCCAAGGCCGAATCATTCAACAGCCAGCTCCAATGTACGGAAACCACAGGCGACCCGACACAGTCATATCAGCGACCAGGATACAGAGGACCAGGAAGAATTGGCCAAAAGACAAAGCTATTGGACTCGTGCTTTGGCGCCGAGGCCCTTCGTCGGGCCGAGAGTGCCGGCGACTTTTGGAACTGCCCAGTAGCACGCGGTGGTCCTTCGGCTGAGACAGGGGTGGAGCACCGTGCTCCATCTCAATCATGGAGAGAACGGGTCAAAGAAAAGAAGACCCAAAACGAGAATGAATGCAACATTTTTATTTTAATGAGTCTGAGTGTTACTTTTCTTCACTTCAATCGGTAACGACGTGTTTATTTGAGCACACGCGTGTGCTGGGGTGTGGTGTATGTAGATACCCTTCATGCATTCATAATTTAAATTCAAAGCCTACCTTGCGCTTGATTTAGCTGATCTATTTAAGTGAGCTTAACTCACGTTCATTGAAATTATTTTCATTGAAGTGCAATTTCATTCATTTATTTATTTATTTTGTGACAGTGCTGGTGCGGGTGTATTTTGGTTTGCATGTGCAGCATGTGTATGGTTGTTTTCGTGTGTAGTGCAGGGGCAGTATCATGTAAATCATTGGATGATTGTTGGCTGTATGAGTTGTGAACTTTTTCACCCTTTTGATAGAAAATAAATGGAAACCATCCAAAGTCATATGCGTGTTCAAGGAAGTGGCGAAGTTATAATTTCATATCAGGGTTGGGAGGTCATAGCGTTCAAAGTGGACTCGCTGGTATGCGGGCCCTAACCATTTTTTTTTAAATCTCACCAGATTTCATACACATTCTGCTGAGTACCCCTCCCCTCAACCTGCACGATAACCCTAAACAAACTAGAAAGTTTTTGTTAAAATATACATAGCTGGGAAGTTACAGAATCCATGTCTGATGAAGTTCCTCGACACAAGATATTGAGATTTGTTCCGAAGAACCGAGCCTATGCTGGTACCTAGATACTAGATAGACATTTATTAGGATCCGATCAGGCCGTTTGACTAAAACTGTGTGCGACACAGACCTAGGACCCTGAGACCTAGGATCCATGCTTAGGCCTTGGGGCTCTGACACTGACGTAGAGGTTCTTGGACACTACGGCAGGCCTTTTCCCGGTGGCGATTGGTCATATTTCATTTTCGTGGCGCAATGTCCACTAACCAGTGCAGTGATTCACCCTCTGGTGCGTGCACCTACCTTGCGAGGCTAGCACAGCCTGGCGGCGATGCACGGAAACAGCTCTGATTGCCAATAGATGGGAGGGCAGTCAGTCGGGCGGACACTCGCCCTAGTAGCCAGGTATGTATGTATGTATGTATGTATGTATGTATGTATGTATGTATGTATGTATGTATGTATGTATGTATGTATGTATGTATGTATGTATGTATGTATGTATGTATGTATGTATGTATGTATGTATGTATGTATGTATGTATGTATGTATGTATGTATGTATGTGTGTGTGTGTATGCATGTATGTATGTATGCATGTATGTATTGACATCAAATTTGACTTCTTCTGGTTCTGGACATAGAACTCTGTAAACCTGGACTGAAACCTCCGTTGCGTCGTTTCCATGATAGTCAAAGCCGTGGTCGCCTCCTCCACGCCTCCACCCCCTGTTCCAGGCTGGACGGGTAACTTTATCCCATGCGGGTAGCTCCACCCCAGGAGCAGGCCCGTAGCCGCGGGGTGCGATGACTGCCAGGGGGCGGGGTGGCCGGTGTCTTCGTGATGGGTTCAGCCCCGACGGGTCACAGGGCATGCGTGCCCGGACAAATGTCTTTCCCGCCCAGACAGATGTTCAAATTCCTATCATCCTTTCGGCTCTAAAATGGTCTTGTTAGACCGAAAGGGCCTAACCCAACAAAGCAAACAAACAAAAATGGGCTGGACACATAAATTCTAGCCATGGCCGCAACGGCCCTAAAAGCAGACGCTTATAACTCGAGAGTCAGTGCAAGGACAGTTATTTTTCACCATTGCATAAGCAGCCGATCACGAAGAAACGTTCAACTTCAGTACCCTCGAGAGAAGCAATTTTACACCTACCCTGAAAATGTCATGACCCTAACCCAAATGACCTTTGGCTTATGACCTGTTTCTCGAGTCCATATTTGGCTGGAATCGCGATTCGGCGTAAGTCGGCACCCAACATCCGCGCGTTTAGTCCAGTCTTTGTTGTTGTCAACGTTTCATCAGCATGTGTCATCAGCATGTATGTATGTATGTATGTATGTATGTATGTATGGCAGGGCCCAGCGCGTTGTGCTAAATGGCAAAACGTCAGCATGGACTCCTGTCATCTCCGGAACTCCGGAAGGCGGAATTTTATCGCCGCTGCTCGTTTGTTTGTACGTCAATGACCTGCCTTCTGTCGCGGAGTCGCACTCTTTGATGTACGCGGACGATTTGAAACTGTTTCGATGTGTACGGTCAGAAGATGACAGCGTTCTTCTACAGAAAGATTTGAACCACGTATCGGATTGGGCAGAAACATGGAAATTGGCCCTGAATGCATCGAAGTGCAAAACCATGTCACTCACTCTAAAGCGAAATCCTGTGCAATATGTATACACAGTTAGAGGGACTGTCTTAGAAAAGCTGGACACGATGCGTGATCTCGGTGTTATGTTAGATAGTAAGCTAACTTTTACCCCACATGTCGACAGTGTTGTTTCCAAGGCCCGCCGTGCGTTAGGCGTTCTTATGCGATCATTTCAGCTGTGTCACAGACAGAACGGACTCCTGAATGAGAAGGCTATTATGGCCGCGTACACTGCCAACGTGCGCTCTATCTTAGAATATGGATCGCAGATATGGGCCGGAGCAGCGAGTACACACCTAGATAGAATAGAACGTGTCCAGCACAAGTTCCTTTTATGGTTAGCACATCGCACAGCGACCGGACGACAAGCGAGGGATTTGTCGTATGATGCGCTGTTGGACTTGTTTAAACTGCAGACGCTTGCATCTCGTCGACAGCAACATGACATTGTCTTTTTACATAACATTATCCAGGGTAGATGTGACTCGATGTATCTTTTGGGCCGTTTCTCTATTCGTGTACCATCCAGAAGCACTCGCTACCGTGCTGCTTTTTTCGAGCCTGTCGCCAGAGTGAATACTATTAAAAACGGCATGTTTTGTAGATTACCCAGACTCACCAATGTTTTTCTTGCACGCTGCCCTACCGTTGATATGTTCTGCGACGGCAAGGCGACGATTATCGCACGACTAGCCAAGTGCCAGACAAGTGACCATCTGTAATGTTGTGACGCATACTTATTTATTTATTGTTTGTGTTTTATCTACTCGACTTTGCCTATCATTGGGAATCTGTCCTGTTGGCAATAAACTGAATAAATACAAATACAAAATACAAATGTGAAATGATGTTTGTCTCATGCATTATGGGGTGTGAAAATGACGTGAAGAGCAGGTTAAGGTCATTGACCAGAGGTGGTCTTGGTTCAATTTTTTAGTTTTACATGTGCTTAGGGTAGTTTTGGAGCTGATTTCAGATTCACATAGCACCTACTTTAAACATTTACGAAGTGGTTTTGATGCCTACGTAACATGTTACGACGCTGTCAGTGGTGGTTGACACCTATAAGTGACACCTAAATGACCAGGAAGGTCAACCAATAACCTAGGACTTTGCTTTTGGGTATAAGAGTAGTCGACTTTAGTTCGTCACAGGTAGCATGGTCGTTTTTTTTTCCACGGAGCTGCAAGCTCGATCAAGGGTCGAATGGCGGCGGGGAGGGGGAGGGGTCCAACACCTCCCCTATACGTTCGCTAGTAGGACAACGCCAGGGTTAAAACTCTACTCGATCAATGCATACAAAACATATCTATTTAAAATCTCTCAAAATATTTTTTATGCGTCGATTTAGCTTATCCATCTTGTCAAGGATGATCAACAAAAACCTTGAGATAAATGCTTTTTATGACTTTTTGAAAGTGAAGTGCGTTGCATTCCACTTTCCTTTGGCATTTCAATCAGCTGTGTCTTTTTCCGTAAAGGAGGCAATCCGTTTAACATTACTCATGCCACGGCGGGGGTGGAATCATTTGATGCACGTATGACTTGCAGGGCATGCGGCGTGCTTCCCTAATCGTGCACAGCCGCAAGTGGATTGTGGTTAAACGACACGACACTGCACACAAGTTCCCCCGGAAAAGTAGCGGTTAGTTTCAATGCCGAGCGATGGAACATACGGTAGTGGTTGGGGAATACTGACCTGCATATCGGGGAAAAGATCGCCCCACCGCGTGCGTGCACACAGAGTTCCCTTTCAGACACGTGAAGGCACGTGAGGGCATATAACCGACGTGCCAGCCGGGAGACGGCTTTAGTTTCACATCGGGCAGACGTCTGTCACCATCATGCACCTACTGGTAAGTGGAATGGAGCTTTTAATAGCAGAAAATGCTTGTCAATCTAGTCACTAGTGTTAAACCCACTGGCCGCTTTTTTCTTTAGCTGGAATGATTGATGACCGCTTGCGTAAATGTAGAATTTGAGCAAATGTAAGAAAATTGCTGACGACTTGCAATCAGCTTCATTGGTAAATTTTCATAGCATATAACATATTTTTTGCATTACACAGAATGCGATAGCTATTTTCAGGCACTAGCTATATGAGACTCTAGCTCTTATTTACCAGCTCCAATGCTGCTGGCTCTTTTGTGGACAGCTGTTCTGATAGGAGTCCGTTTAAAAGCGTCTGGCTAGTTTTTCACCGATGCCTGTTTCCGTTTTCAGATCATTGGCTGCCTGGTGTGTCACGCGAGCCTGGCCCAGACTGCAAGTCTGCCCCAGAATGTTCCGCCTAACATTTGGCCAGCTCAGTGGCCACCAGCGCCTCCGATTCGTCCCGCGCCCTCACTGCCGGTTACACCGGTTCCGACGGTAGTTCAGAACTCGGCACCATCCAGCAATGCAGCGTCATCGCCTCCAGCACCACAGCAGAACATGTCAGCTCTTCTGCAGTCGCTGATACAAAAGCTGGACTATCCGCGCCGGCAGAAAACGCTGGCTCTGCTGTCACGGTACAGACAACTCTATCTACAGAGCCTGCTTGCTCAGCGTGCGCAACAACTAAGGAGCTTAAATCAACAGACACAGAAAGCAATAAGCCCTCAGAGAGCGACAAGCCAACCAGCGCAGAATGTAATCAGCCAACCGACGCCGAGTGTAGCGACCCAGCAGACACATGGTGCGCAGCCTCCGAAAACAGCATCAGTACAAATACCGACAGTGTTTCGGCCCAGACCTCCTGCGGATGGACTGTTCCAGTTTCAGCCACATCTATTCCCCACACCAGCCGCTCCTCAGAGAGTGATGGCCTCGCCTTCAGTACAGCCGCAGCAGTCCACTGCTTCCCCTCCCGTGCCACCAGAGGAAACCGTCGAGGAGCCGGAAGAAGTCGAGTCTCCCGACCCATCCGACTCTGAAGGTGACGAGGACGACGACACGGAGGAGGCTGACGCCGATGAAGAAGAGGAGCCTGTGGAACATCCGAAAGAAGCTCGTGCCTCGCCTCCTTTGAGCCTTCCAAGTGGCGATGCGTTTTCAATTCTAAGGAAAATATCCGGAAACGGTCAAGGTTCAGCTGGGGTGTTTAAACAAAAGCCGCAGCTTTCAGTCC